TCTCCTGGCATCGCTACTAGGAGCAAGGACGCTACTAGGGGCTCCTGGTCTTACTACTAGGAGCAAGGGCATCGCTACTAGGAGCAAAAAGAACGACCGGCTGATTCGTGACGACATGGAACCGGTTTGGAGGGCCTCCAACCTAGAAGCGATGGCCTCCAACCGGTTTGGGGCGAAGTCATATTCAAGTGAGACCCTGTGTTCTCCTCAGCTGCTCGAAGGATGGAAGTTGCAGCTCCCATTGACCTGACAGAGCACGGAAATGAAAGGCTGTTGCAGGCTGTTACGACCTGAGATGAATAGATTTTGTCTTGCTTGAAAAAACGGATCTGAAGCTCTGAAAGGTTCACAAAATATCAGGCCTGCCCCACAAGCCCACGTGGCTTACACCCAAGGACCTCAGGTGCTGAATGAGAACCTGAAGCGAAGCGAAGAGGCAAGGCGACGCTGAAATTTTCCAGAGGCGCCTCAAAAACCGAAAAGTTCATTCCGTCTTGGCCAACACTCTTAGCTGGAGGCCATTGCTACTAGGTTGGAGCATGCTCAAGGCGGAAAAAACTACTATTCCCATGCGAGAACAGAATCTGGAACAAGCGCTCTCGCTACTATAGCAAGGAGGAATTACGTCTAAGGCAAAACTATTATTCAACATGTCTATGTTTCTAGCCCTTCTCAGTTGGCCTTTTCCTATGGCTTGGATACCTAGAATACCTTCCCCTCAAGTCTCGCAAATCTCAAAAACAAATAAGAAGGAACCTACTAGCGATGGCCTCCAACCCAATAGCAATGGCCTCCAAAACCGTTGCCTTTTGGGGCTCGAATTGAGAGACCCTTCTCTTCCGACCGCCTGGAGATCCTTCTCTTCAAAGTGGCCCAAGGAGATGAATTCGCCCTCACTGTGGCCCGACCTTGCCAAAGACAAAAGGAAGAAAGAAAGAAGCTACGAACGGAACAAAGGGCATCGCTACTAGGAGCAAAGACGCTACTAGGGGCTCCTGGCCGTACTACTAGTAACAAGAACCTACTAGATACGATTTATGATTGTATTAGAAAGAAAGAAGGAAGAAAGGTCTAATGTAGTTTGCTCTTAGGTTGGAGGCCATCCCTGGTGGGTTGGAGGCCATCGCTATTAGAAACACGACCATCACCAGGGAAACACCAACAAATGTGAAATGGAAGTAGCAAGTTGATGGGTGCGTTATCGGTGGAAGACTGCTCTTCCAACGCAAGAATGCTTCTTTCATAAATAACCTTTTGGCTAAATAACAACATTGAACGACAGTTAACCCCAGGACCAAAGGTTTCAGCGGCTTCTGGTATTCTTTCAGGTTGTTCAGCAGCACTCTATTTTTGCTCTGCCATCTAATCACGTTCTGCATTTTTCCACCCTGTCTGGGGTCGTAACCCAGAGAGATCCAGGCAGCAAAGCATGAGGTTTTTGGGCAGTATCACCTCACTTTGCTCTTGCACCAAGTCCCTGAAGTTAAGTTTGTCCTAAAAATCTAGTGGCTTCCTTGCTCCTAGTAGTAAGGCCAGGAGCCCCTAGTAGCGTCCTTGCTCCTAGGAACCAAATGAACAGTGCGAGCGCTTCTTCAAGGAAGCCTCCCCCTGCCGCCCTAGAGGCCTTTAGGGCGGGGGGAGCTTCCTTGAAGAAGCGTGAGCTATCCTGCGTCCTGTCGGTAGTAGCTTACTTCTGGGTAGTAGCTACCTCTAGCTACCTCTAGCTACCTAGCTACCTCTACACGGCCTACCCTCAAACTCCAGACTCCGAACATCTCCACTCAAAACGATTCCAGGCACAGGTAGGACATCGATGGCTTCAACTCGGGAAGAGCAATTGCCATGAAGGAAAATCACGCACCTCAAAAGTAAATACAAGTCCAAAAGGTGAACAATATTGATCCAAACAGCCAAAAATATAAGGTGATGCCTGCATCACACATTGCAACCAACAATTGAAACTACACCAAGAACCGCCAAAACAGCAAAGCCACTGACTACAGTATTCTGCTCGCTCTCTCTCTCTCTCTCTCTTTCTCTTTCTCTGGGACTCTGGGACCACAGCCGATTTTGATGTCGTTTTGGAAAGGAACCTGCGGTTTTTGGCGTCCGAGAACTTCTGCCCAAAAAAGAAATGCGGCAAGAGCCAACAAACTGTTCAATGAAACCTGCATCAAACAAGGTTTGAGAATCATGCGGAAAAGGCTGCAGGACAACCGCATTTCCCGATCATTCTTCAGGTAAAAGTCTGGCCACTTTGACACTTTGAAAAATAACGAATTGCATGTCTACTAGGAGCAAGGACGCTACTAGCGGCTAGCCAGACCTTAAAGTAGACAACCCACTCTATCGCCGCGCCAGTGCAATGACGAACATGACAAACAACAAACAATGACACCGATGACACCAGACACAATGGGACACAAGCACAAGACGCCCTGCCAGCGGCCCGACTCAGGGATTTGACCAGTCCTAACGGTCCTAACCCAGTGTCTCGCCAGCGTGCCAGTGGCCCCACCCAGCCCGATGTGGCAAACAAGCGGTGACGCACAGAGGGACAGCACCATAGAATCCCTGAAGGGCGTTAGGGAGTCGCCCAGCCGGACCGTATAGACAGATATTGGGAACCGGACAGACCTGGTCGGGTGCGGGATGGCTCAGATCAAAGTGGTTAAAGAGAATATTCTTTTAGGAAAAGGAATGATTTTACTGAAACTTGTTAAGAGTCCTCTTGCCATTGCTATTAGGTTGGAGGCCATCGCTATTAGGTTAGTGAAAGAGAACTTCATTGAACTTCTTTGTCTTTCGTTCCTCTCTGCTGTAGACTTGTGATGCGAGGCGGAACTTCTGCGGGCCAAGGTCTGAGAGCTCGTACTGTGACCTCACGACACAACGACATGTAACAATCGAAGAAACTGAAACCAAGAGCAGCAAAAGAAAGAAACTGAAACCATGTGTTTTGTTTGTTATCTTTCTAATTATCTATCCATTTCTTCGCACTAGTCTTCCCTGTGTCTTTCTCCGAACGTCTTTGTCTTTCCTCTTTTTAGCGACTCTGTACCTTGTCTTTGTCACGTGCTCGGCCTCGGTGGTCGAATGATACTCTTCCAAAGGATGTCGTACGAGTCCGACAGCAAAGAACCCCAGGAGACTTTCTCCATACCTCATCGAGAAAGCGAAAGCGAAAGCGAAAGCGAGCCAAGAGCCAAGGAAGGAGCGAAAGCAAGTCAAACCTGTCAAACCAGCCTTGACATTGTCATCGGCCAAATCACGCCATGAGAACTAAGTAGTAACAAGAAGCTACTAGGAGCAAAGGGCATCGCTACTGGTAACAAGTGCCTTACTAGTAGTAACAAGTGCCTTACTAGTAGTAACAAGAATTAAATTAGAATTAAATTGTTTCTAATCCTAGTAGCAATGGCCTCCAACCTAATCGAAGAACTATTTCCTTCATAAGCTTGATTGTGTTGTTCTGATCAAAACCCCAGCGTTACCTCGCAGTCTCTTTCACTCTGTGTTGAGCGGGCTTGAGCAGGCAAGTTGCAAGTTGCTCTCAACATAATCTCAATACTCTCGTGCAATGTTTGTCATCACAGTCGAACATTTTTGCCAAGTTCGTTCGCAAAGCATTTGGCCAAGTTCAGGTTTGGCAAATCGACATTAAAAAGGTGAACCCAATTCTCCACTTTGTGGCTTCGCTTCATTCAAAACGCCCAGCAAAGATTGCAATCAAGGGCAACGCCAGAACAAGAACACCCAAAAACGATGCATCAAAATCGACCTTGGGTGTACTTGAGTCATCTGCAGCACTTGCCACATCCATGTCATCTTGTTCAACCCGCTTGGCTGCCTGGCAAGCTAGGAGCAGGCAGTGGCAACGACGTGTCGTGACCTTCGGCACCTTCGAGTCGACGTCTTCGGCATGGAGGAACAAGAAGCTACGAACGGAGCAAAGGGCATCGCCACTAGGAACAAGGACGCTACTAGGGGCTCTTGGCCGTACTACTAGGAACAAGGACGCTACTAGGAACAAGTGCATCGCTTCTAGTAACAAGTGCCTTACTAGTAGTAACAAGAAGCTACTAGGCTAGGGGCTCCTGGCCGTACTACTAGGAGCGATCGGACGCGACGAACGGAACAAACCAGGCGAACCGGAGTTTGGCACCTTGGAGTCGTCTTCGGCATGGAGCCGAACCCGTGGAGCTCGCGGAGACGCAAAAGGCCTCACTCCGACCGAGTCTCGCGACGGCCCAGTCAGGTCGTCCGCTACTCGGTCGGGTTTTTTGTTGTCCGTTCAAGCCCAAAAAAGTGGCGGCATTGCAGAATGCGTTGCTCCAAAAACATGTGTTCTTTTGATGTGTAATGAGTGTTCGTGAGTGTTTGCTTGCAGTGGAACTTGAGCAATTCGTTGCAAATCCCGCCTGGACAAGGAACCCATGACACCCCACAGCAGGACCGCCATCACTGCCATCGTAAGGCATCGCAAGCTTCGCAGCTTCATGGCACCCGTGAGTCACAACGAGCTATCAGCAGTGCAACAGGACGCTACGAACGGGGTTCCTGGCCTTACCTACTAGGAGCAAGGTTCGCTACGTTCGTAACAAAGGGCATTTCTACGAACGGAGCGTTCGGACGCTACATGCCGAATTCGAACAGCCCCCCTTTACACCCTTCTGAAGATATTCGACCATGCGATTCTGAAACCTTTTCGTCGAACTTGGTGGTCTCGAGCCGTGGTGTCATCTGCATCGGTCTCACCCGAAACCCCTTGCTAAACACAAGCAAAACACCAGTAGCGTGTTTATTCGATTCTGAAAAACCGCTGAGGCAACTTGTCCCTTGGGGAAAATGCGCCGAAATGCCCCGGTATGCCGGCTTCACGCATGTGTGTGTACTGCCCGAATGACATGCCCTTTGACATTTGTGGGTTTTGACACTCCCATTCATTTCAGGCAAAGCTTGCACAGAGGGCCTATTGAGGTTTGCAGTTCCCAAGTGTGCACATGCCGAGAAATGCACGAATCGACCAGCTGGCATCTTGCGGCCGCTGCCGATCCTGCAACTTGTGTGTGTTTGCATTGGTCACCTGTCTTGCGCCAGAGCAGGTCCAAATTAATCACTCACCTGTCTTTGCACGACTTTCAAAGGGTATTCAAAATCTTCAATGTACAGGTTCTGCTTGGCCCAATCATTTCGAAGCTCCAACAATTCCTGTTCATACTATCACGAAGGCAGTGGCAGGGGTTGACATATCTAAGCAGCCTCGGGTGAAGGGGTGAAGAGGTGAAGGTGAAGATCACTCCAAAGCACACCGAATGGTCTGAGGCAGCCCCAACAAGCGTGTCTTTAGGGTTCACTTCAAATCCTCATCTTGCGCAAGAAGACCGAAAAGCTCATCGAAAGCTGTCCAGGAGGGTCAAATAAGGCTAATCCACGATTGCAAATGACTGGATAGGACCGAAAAACTCAAGGAAAGTTCATCAAGCTGCCAGATCCAACTCTCATTATCCAAATCACCAGTATTGAACACAGCAGTGATTCGACCACAGCTACCATAGTTTCGGCTTGTGTCAAGAGAAGAGAATGTGGAATCGCAGAGCTGAGCGGTCCTGCACTGCAAATGAGCACCAAGTTTGTTGTCTGAGGTGATCATTGAGAAGTCAATGACTTGCAACCAAGAGATGTTCTCGCTCTTACTTCTCTTGGGCCAGAAAAATTTTACCCAAGATCTGCAAGGTCAATGCCTCAGAGAGGATTTTTTCCTGGGCGCACGTGCGAAGGTCGGAGCCCAACGTCGCAAAAAGAAAAGAAGAAGGCGACAAGCGACAAGGGTGAAAGGGGAGGCAAAAGAAGCAAGCTCTCAGGTCAATGTGAAAACACGGTCGCGCAAGCTTCCTTTTTCGATCCCGCTCCTTGAGCCAAAGTCACAGTCGGCTTAGACTGTCTCAAAGGTTCTCAAAGTTTCTCCAAAGCTTGTCAGCTCTTCTTAAAAGAGTCAAGACTATTTATTCACCGTCATTTCAAGCCTACACCAAACTAAAGAGAACTATCGTCAACAGTCTCCATGTACACGCAGTACTTACCAAAAGGTAATCCAGGTTTCTCCTAGCCACGTCTAGCCACACCAAACCTTCTAAAAGGTTATCCTGCCAAGTAGGTCAAAGTAAATCACCAACAAAAGACCACAAACCAGTCAGCTCCAACCCCAAGTCATCAAAAACGAAAATCTACCTAAGAAACAGGCACTGGGTGATCCACACCCTGTACAAACAGGCGGCTACGCACTAGCTTTCACACCCCTTCTTGGGTCACATGGTGCCGCCTTCTTCTGTCCCTCTTCTTCTTCTCTTCTTCTCTCTTTCGTTCTCTCAACTAAGGATCAGACAACAACTAAAATCCACACACCGGTCCTCAAAGGTGATCTCAAAGTC